TGAATATTCTATAACTATAAGTATGTACAGGCTATGATCAGGATATAAATATGAAAAACTATAGAGAAATCTGAGATATACAGTTATACAGAAATGTGAACTATGCAGGTTATAAACAGTTGTAGGATTAAAAATTATCGTATGTACAGAATGATTATTTACACAGAGCTATACAGTAGTGCAGTTAAGATAAGTGAGATATGTGGATAATTTCTACAGAGGCTATAAAGTGCTATATAAGAGGAGCTTAGTGATTATTATTATGTTTAATAGTGTTTTATTATTTCCTTTTTTCATTATTATTTTAAATGTATACATATACAGTGGATTAAGGTCATACGTCCACAAGTAATTATTAAATGAATTGTTAAGCAGTTATCTTAATCTAAAACCACTAAAATGGTTTTAATAATTCCCAAACTTCTTCAAACTTGACTTAAAGTACTATTTGTACTTGACACAGGGACACTGAGTCTACTTTACCTTCCTACACAGAAATGCTCTCATGAATGTAATTAGAATGAAGCTGAATGAAGTGCAGGGGGGAAAAAACAGATCTACCACAAACTGTGGTGAGAATGAAAGCAGCCTGGATCTGAGAAAGAGCTCATGCTGAGTGAGCATGATCTGCCAGTGGGTCTCCAGGGCCATCTGTTGGCTGAGTCAGACTGCGGGAGATTACAATTATCCAGCAGCTGAGGGGGAAGAGGGGGAAATGCTTTACTCTCCTGCTTGGATGTGGCCCGCAGCCAGGGGCCTCACAGCTGCATGTCTACAACTTTATAGTGAATGTGGCTTTTAAATTTGTTCACACTTGGAGCATTCTCCCTCTGTAATCAATACAGTCTGCTGCTGCAGTGCACTACTGGGACCGACATCGACCGACTTACAGCAATGATACAAACTCACAGGGTGTTTAAACTGTCAGCTTACACTGGAACTTCTTAAAGTACTATCATCACAGTCATTGATGAGAGTGTTTCTTTCTTAAGACAGGCATCTCCCAAGGTCATCATCAGCTCACAACCTCTCATCGCTCTCCCCTGTAAGCTTTCTTTTTTTGATCTTCTTTAATAAATATACAGTTTGAATGGAACTACCTTACTGACCGTACTCCACATTTCGTTGTGCTCTTCAATCAATCAGGGTAACTCAAATATCCTCCCAAGATGTCCACCCAGAGAAACACCATTTTCAACAGGTAAACCTACAACGCATTTAAAATTGAGTGATTATTGTGGTAAAGACACTGAACAGTAGCAGTGAAATTCAAATCAGAGACACCTTTGTTTACCTTGAAAAACAAATTATTAAATCACAGTTAATTAACAATTAAAATAACTTAATTACATAATCCCGCACATCCATACTTTGCCTGGTAACAGCAGCTTGTGCTGGCAAATATGATCAATGAAAATGATAAAACATTGGATAAATATTGAAGGTAACTTAGTCTTTGCAATGGCTTAATAATTTCTCTCTTCTTGGTTGCTGCTCATCAAAGCACAGAGTCACTTAGACGGCATTACTCATGCTGAAAACCCATATGCTGCAACTAACTTCATTAGTTAGTCGCCCTTGCACCTTTGCAGTGCCAGGGTGGGCAGCGACTAGCTAATGAACACAGTGAAGCAAATACTAGCTCTAATTGTCGCTTAAGATCAAAGAAGAATGAAAAGAAAGTACTTCAAAAGAAATCTGAAGTTGTGTTTTACACTTGACTGACAAAGTCGGAAAGTCAACTCCACCTATTTAGTGGTAGCTGTCGATATTCAGCTAGTTTTTAACTCAACCAGATAACATGAAGTTATGTAGTTCATTTCATCAGTCTGTATGTCTTTTTGTTGTA